TGGTGGATGAAGAATATCACTTCTATGAGTAAAGCACTTTGGGATGAAAAGTTCTCTATAAATGCCATCATTAACACCATATAATCTGCTTTAGAATATCATGCTTGGTAGCATGTTACACATTTTGCTTCCTAGATGCAATTTAGCAAAACTGACAATTCAACAACGCACTGAAAGGAAAATCAAACGCACTCAATCTTAAACCTTATGAAAAAAACAAATATAGATTCTGAAAAGAACATAATTAAGACGCTAAGAGTCCTGTCTTCACCTCAGTGCTCAGATCTTGCTCCTACAGTGACTGTAAACATTCACAGTGTTTATTTATGAAGACCTTGTATTGACCCATCCAGGCATGTGATATAAAAGGCCCTACATTCCAAAGTGAAGTTTTTACTTGCCAATGGGGGCACAGATTCTAGATTTCTCAAGGTTTTACAGCTGGCAATTTGCAACTAAAGCCCAAATGTTATTGAGTATGTTTTACAGTGCTGAAGTTCATTGGTTTTAAAGCTTTTAAAGTATTAACTGAAATCAGTTTAACCATTTTGCATCAGCTACAGAAAAAGTATTGTAAATGTTTGCCCTTGGGGACAAATTAAATTAATTTTAAAAGTTTGATTTGTTTGTTTGGCATTCCTGATGTCAGACATGGCTGCAATGGGGGTCTAGCTTCACTGTAACATTGGTCTTTACCTGTAACACACACACTGAATTGCCTTAAAGAAGTTGTTTCTGACTAAACGTCATGGTGCTAATCTGCCACAATGTACTGGTGAGCTAGGATATTGTGGACACTTCTCGGAAATCAATACCCAGAGTAAATGGAGATGAACCGGCTTACTTTCTTTTGTAAAAAGTTTTAAAGCCTGTTTTGATTTTTTGTTTTAAACTTCACTGAGTTTTTAGCAACAAAAGCATATGAATCTATTCTGAGTAATATGTTTAATTCACGGGGGGACCAACTGATTCGTTTTAAATTAAGTGTTATTCAACTAGCAATAATCACGCCTCGTCTGAACCTAATAGGCTACGATACTAGTGTTATTCCATGTTCATTGTAAAATGTTTTATAATGAATAAGGAAGCAAGAAAGGAAAAAAATGCCAGCACTTTCCACATCCTCTTGAATCAGTGTGTGGGGCACCAGATCAAGTGCACATCACATTACAAGTCTCTCCTTCTCTGCGTTAACCAGTCAGGTTCAAAACTTGAACTTGCCTGCATGCAGTTTAAAAATATTAAAATGATTAAATGTAATACATTAACAAATTGTGCAAACACGGCATCCTATGAACTCTCAAATTCGTTTGTGCATGTTTCAAAGTATCATCTTTAATGAAACTTGAGCTAAACATGTATAGATTACATAGAACTACATCTTATCTCACTGTAAACATAAAAATTACTTTCATATCAATTTCCATAGGAGATATTAAAGAGTCTAGTTATGCTGTGTAGACACTTTATTCATAATGTAACTGTTTAAGGCAAAAGCAAGCAATCCCACCCGGATTGAGCCATTAATGAGTAATACAAAGTTACTTGTGTATGTTCATCCTACTATTTTAATGCTAAAATTATAAAACAATATGGGTTGAATGTTGTTGGATGCCAGTTGCCACATCAGCATGTGAATAAAATTATTTAATCTTGCTTTAGAGAGGTCAGGCATTCTTAAATTAAGAGAATAAAAGTAGGACACTACCCTGCCAAAACCCATTTCCAAAAAAATGTATATAAATTATTTCTATCAATATTCTCAGACAACTAAACCTTCCTTGTGCTACAATCTGTATATGCTCAAGATTAGCACACAGCAGGCCTTTTTCGAGCTTGTGCAATTATTCTTTAATGATTTCAAACCTCCAGTAGCACAGGCCCAACAATATTTCTGCAGACAGTAACGAGAATTAAAAACCTGAAGTTGTTATTTTGCAGACTTATTGTCATGCAACACAAGGAGTGCAGTATTACACATTCAGCACACCGACGTCTGTATAGCGATTATTCTAGATTTGCAAAGAACTTCACAGTAAAAAATAGGCGTTACAAGACAGGAATGCTAGTAGACTATTACCTAACAGTTTATATTTAAGACTTGCACTGTAGATAAAAGCTACTTCAAACTTGGAGAGCTTAAATATATGGTTAATCGTGTAGCTCATTGCTGATTTTGGAGAATCTTCGATGTCTTATCAAACTTGTCTGTACTTCAACTCTTGTTCTAATCTCTTCCTTTTATGTACTCTAAGCGCATTAATTACACTAGTGTACTTCTGTGGCCTAAATGTCCAATTACAACATATTTTTACCATGCACAAAAGAACAAAACCAAAACAAATACATTGTGTACATGTTTTATGCTATCTTGCTTAAACAAAAAAAAAATCGACAAACATCTTGATTTACTCACATTTAAAATCATTTTCTTAATAAAAACACAACTGAAAAGATGTTTGCAACCATTTTAGAGATTAAGATTCTAGTGGAACTAAAAGATTTTGCATAAATCATCGCCTAACCATAGATAAGTAATGAACAACCTTTTCTCCTAAGTTTTTTTTTTCGTTCTAGTTCCCAGGCCAGACCACAAAAGCTGTACTTGAATCTGCTTAATAGAGCAAATGTGTTATGATGTACAAAGCAATAATGTGGAGACTCTTGAGAAAAAAAAAAAGGTTTTCCACTTCTACATTCAGGAAACCACAGTATTCACACACTGCTTTCGAGTCTTCTATGTCTAATCAAACACACAGGAGTAGACAATCACAAAGTTATCTGCAAGATACTAACAATAAATGTTTAATAGATTTACTTTTTATTTCACAAAACATTTATAAATATAGATTTTAAAAATACATACTGTTCCTTGAGAAGTTACTGAAATAGCTAAACAGTTTAAATAATTTTTATTTAATCTTTATCTAATCCCCATTGTCTTGTTAAATCTTACTTTTGTCCTGATGATATTTTGGATTTTCTTATGGTTTACACAGTTTTAGAACTGTTACGACTTAACACAATCATGTTTCATATTTCTTAAATAGTGAAATTATTCTGAACTCTTTTCTAATCAGTTGCCAATGTTGATCTTAATGAAACAGCAGTACCAGACCTTGTATCAGGGTCACGCCATAATCTAACAACATTCTGACCTTTTTTTCTCCTTTAAAATGAAAACGGTTCAAATAACTTTCTTTCACTGAAGGCAAATGGCACAGAGAAAATAATTTCAGAATATTTTATTTTTTACTGAAACTTTCAGTAACTAAACCCATAATCCCTTTAAGAAAATGTGAAAAATTCAGAGTGTACAGCTGTGATTTGACTTGATCAATTTGCAGTAGTAACATAGCATATACAGTACATGAAAAAGCCATAGCAAATATAGTTAACCCCTAGCGTTTGCATGTAAACAGAAATTTAGGTTCAAATTATTCCTTTAAAATGTCCCATAGAGACCAAGGGGCATAATACTGTAGGACTCATCTAAGATGCAAAACAAATATTCCTGAAGGAGTGAACAGGTCATATTCACATAAAAAAGTGAATATGAATCTCTAAACAAGTATCACAAAAAGGTATCTCCATGTGTCCCACACGTGTTTGGCTACCAACAGGAATCGCACAGCATATTCTTTTGCATGGCTGACTTCACAAGACAAAATGTCATAACTTGTATCCTTGGAAAGGACAAACTGACAGGGGCAAATAACCAACATCCCAAGACTAGGGAGCCAAGTGCACCAAAGACACTGATGTGCATTCAAGATGACCACACTAGAAACAGTACAAAGAGAAAGACAACCCAGGGGGACATACAGAGTCAAACCTTTAAGAATGAAAAGGCAAAACCATCTTTTATAGCCATATAGACATTAGTCCCCAATTTCCCTTTTCAGAATACCCTTCTACCCCCAGCAGTCCTACCACACACAGATTTCAGCACAAGGGATTTGTGCTTAGCAGACGCCCTTATCCAGGGTACTTGCATTATCCACAGTTATACAACATTGTACAGTGATGGAATAAGCGCAAAGACAAGTCAACTAGGTTCAGAGGTGATTAATATCCGAGTAAAATGGACTGTCTGTGAAAAAAGACGCATCTCACGATGCTTATGTTTGAAAAAGGGAAAAGAAAAATCTGTATAGAGTAGGTACCCAGATCATGTGGCACTGCCAAAACCTCTGGATGCGCAGATATGAAAATCCAATGGATTTACTTAGAAAGGCCGAAATAAATTGATTTGCATGTCATGTCACTTTTATCAATAGTCTTAAGGTCTTGTGAGGTAAAACTGTCTTCGTGCGATATGGCACAGTCAAGCGCAGTGCAGACCGAATGGATTTTATGAATGCAAAAGGGCTCCAACACACGTTTGATGCCACCTGATGTTGATATACTGTACTGTCGTTCGCTGTACTTACTGAACCTCAGGATCTTTTTGACAACTAACACCTTCACATATCGGTACTCGTTTCTATACAGTATACCCGGTAAACTAGAGCCTAGAGCTAATGCTGTTCAGATTCCAGACTTATTTTTTGGTCTTCGATTAAAAAAATAAAAATAAAAATGCACAACACTGCTCACATTAATATCTTTTACATAGGAGGTTTCCACTATTTTCTAATGGATTTGGTCATTGACGAGCCATTTAAATTCTGACGTGTGCATATGATCACAGGTTTAAAACTAATGGTGAACAGCTCTTTCAGTTGCATAAACTACCATCTTTCCATGAAAAAAAAACATACGGAAACCGTGCTACTCTACTGTACCTGTTGAAATGGCATTAAATAACATCGCAGAGCGAAACTGTGCAAAATCAAGTCAATTCATAAACTAAATCTACAAGAATGTCCTGCAAAAACAAAGTTTTTAACTACCTCTATCAGGGTACGCGGATTAGTTTTTTTTTTAGGTGTTTGGGTAACTTTAAGCAGTGATAGACCACAGAATTCATTTAGCGTTCAATGGAAACAAATACCTACTTGTACCAAGAAAACAGTCCGTAAACCTTCTAAAACAGCCTGACGAAGGTGGACCATCTTCTTCCATTTCTGACTCCAACAGCAAGGAAGGAGAAGCGAGCGAGAAAAACGTTTCTCTGTTATAATTCCTGCTGTGGGTAGTCCTGCTGTTCAGAAAATGATTCGACCAGAGCCCTTGCAGATGAGGTCTGTAAGGTCTGTGCCACTCTGGCTGCAGAAACCCGTGAAGGGAGCGAGAGGAGTGAGGGGAAAGAGAGAAGAGTCCGTAGCTACTCGCCGGGTTGCAGCTGAGGGTCGATTCGTCTCCTCGCTGCCGCAGCGCTGTAAATTTGCTCGGAGAAGGCGAAGGACAAACCGTGGAGTACGGGGATGGAGGAAAACAGGGAGCTGCAGATCTGGCGAGGATGTCGCTTCTTCCCCGGCTGCCGTTTTGAGGTGTCGCTGCAGAAACCGGAGAACTACATGCCCAGCCGCCTTCCAGAGACAAACTGCTGTATATTTGGATGTTGCTGCTGCATCTGTGCCGTTTCCCAGTCGTCAGGGGCGCTTGGGGGCGTGATGAGAGTAATTTCTCTGGGTTGGACATCCTCCTTTTTTATAGCATCGAGGCAGGACGTTTCAGACGCATCGAGAGGAATTACGAGAAGAAATATCGATAAAAGAAGGACTCCATAAAACAAATTATAATCCCAAGACTGTCAATAGCAAAAGAAACCAATTTATTTCATTACGTTTAATTGTACGTGCGATCGTTAAAATACAAAATTAAAAAAAATACATGTACAGCGCTTAAACTAAAGTTTCACAGCTCGCTTTCCTCTCTTCTTTTCTTTTTAATATACCGCGCAGGCAAAATCACTGCAGAGATGTGTTCCCTTTACTCAGACAAGAACGCCAGACAGACAGAAACCGCCCACTGGTGAAGTAAACTGTTGCAAAGGATTATTTGTTAGAAAAAAACATAAAGGACATTCCCATCAATAAACGTCCACATTAGCCATACCGCAATGGGCTCAACTTCGCTTGTTTAATCCGCATGAGATTTCTATTAGAAATCTCCGAGATATAAACCAGAAACACATAAATAAGGAATCAGCTGCAGTTTGATGCATCCCCGACGTCAGCACACGCCGGTGTGTGCAGTGCAGAAAGGTGATGGCTTAAAGCTACAGTCTCCTCCTGCATCGAGTGAAAAAAACGCATGCAAAATACCCCGACTGGTAGACGAAAGCTGAATTATATTATCCATTAAATGCGAAATAGTGAATTTGTCGAATTTGTTGGTAATGTTCCTCCCCATACCGGTTAAAAACAATTTGATGCCATTTTTCCCATTTAAGAGTCTATTAGATATTTAAGATACTTCGGTATTTATAATCCCATACTAACATATTTGTAAATGGTATTTTAAACACAGAAGACATTTTTATTTACAGCCTTAAAACAAATTACACTGATATATCTCATGTATTTCTGTATTCGCTACATCATTCTCTTGGTTAAATGTTATTCCTTATTTTATTTACGGTAGTTTTTTAAGCTAACATAAAACATTCAGTTTTTACTAAGTTCTCAACAGTTAGGCCCATTTAGGTGTATCGTTTAAGAGCCTAATTAAGTGTTTATTATCTGATTAAATTTTGATGTCTGTGTCTCTGCGAACTAAGCCATGATAGACATTAATGTTTGGGGTGCTATATTTGAACTTTGAGTTTTGTCTATGGTTTTCATCTTTTTTTTCATATGAATATAAATATAAAAAAATGGAAATTCCTATTATGATTGTTAATTTTATCCTACTAAAAGGATAAAAAAGGTCAGGGGTTTGCATCCTTACTTACCCAAGTATAACCAGGTTACACATACCAAAAAAGAACGCCAGGAGAATAACGTCATAACTAACCTACCAAAGTCCAGTTTTCATAAGATATAATGGTTCCTATGATATAAAAATAAGAACAACGTACAAAACAAAGAATTATCGTAGCAGAACTATTACAGAGACCTTAACAAATTAGTCCCTATTTTAAAAAGTAACCGCTTTGGGGTTACAGTCATGAGCGCACTTTATTAACTGATAAGGCCTAATTAATCCTTATATTTTACTTAAATGCGATTTTACCAACATATTTTTACAGAATTGTTCATTTTGTTAGGACAACATATATCGACTTGCCATCATCTAAAATATCAAACAGCATAATCACAATTGACAGATTACATATTTTTCATGACAGTTAATAAGTGTCCATTTTCGTCTAGTGAACATTCCTTACTAGTGAATAATGTACTATATAATGTACTAAGAACTGTCAGGTTCAAAAGCCTTAAAGCCAAAATAAACTTCTTATGAAGAACATGAAGAACTACTGGATGCTTTTCGAGTTTCTGAAATGTTTGGGTCAAACACTTCTGATAGTTTCGGATGAAGCACTAAGTTATTCAGTTTAACTGCCTGTGTCTGTGTTAAGAATTTCTATGCAGAACATAAAGAACATAAAGAAAACACATTCATCTTCCAGAAAGTCCAATATTTATGCTTGGCACTGAAACGAATTTATAACATACCATAAAGACAGCCATCACAAATTAGTCAAATCTCCCTGTTTCTGAAAAAAAGGGAGTGTCTCATTTCATTTTGTAGAAAATGTAATCGGCACTGTAAATGTTTAAGCCGCTACTGTGAAGGAAAGATGTCTTTGATAACTATATAAAATGTTACCGTTTTTTGGTTGTGGCAAACATTGTTATATAAATAGTTTATTTAAATGTGTAGCAAGAATAAATTCAATTTCGTATTGTACCCGGTTTGTTTGTTATTATAATGGTAGAAATGGATTGTTAATAACAGTCGTAATTTTATGGTGTTACTTTATTAATGTGGAGTTCTCGAAATGCATAAACACAAATATAAAAATATTTTAATGAGATGTTTGTATAAATACAGACCAACGGATTTTGTACTGTAGGTCTCCGAGCAAACACAAGAATGCAGACTGTTAAACAGAAAGCAGTTATTAACTTTTTAATAACAGGAGTTCGTTTTCTTTTCTTTTTTTGCTGGGAGGTTTTATACAAAGGATTTCCTGTGTCATTTTGACGTTTCATTGACGTCCTTCAGGCCCTACAATGTTTCCAAACCGTTAGAAATGTTTCAGCCTTGATCTCTTAACAACATTCAGCTACAGATTAACTCCCGAGACCAGAGTCAGCAGAGAGCAACAAGTAACTCATAAAGAGTTCGCTGTATTTATGTTGGCTAAAGTAACATTGTCAGTTTTGTACACGTAATACTGTAGGAAAATGTATTGAATGTGTTTATTTGGAAAAGAACAGGCCGTGGAAACGCAACCTGGGACAGGAAACGCAGGTAACAATCTATTCCTTTCAGCCTGTCTTTGGAGTCGGTAATCATTTAACTATAAATAATAACATTTGCCCAGTTTTCGCAAAACACATAAAGAAGACATAAATTATGAAAATTGTGATATATGTAATTTGTTTCCAATCGTGTACGCATTGTCTGTAGGTTAGAATAGAATGGCCTTTTATGCGGTAATATGAATTGTGCTTGTGTTTCTTTAAAACAACATAAAAGTGGACATTATGATATAAAACTGACATGTGAGAGTATTGTTAGCATTTTGAAAATTTGTTTTTACGAAATTAAATAATACGAACGGAGATATAGTGATGCCACAAACATTTCGTAGTTGCTGTTTAATATACTGCGTCCGTTAATTTTAACTCGAGCGCAGTTGTCCATTTAACTCTTTAATTACTTGAGATTTGGAACCTGTTTTAAAAGAATTTTAAACTGCTAAGAGCAAATCTGAATAGTACATTTTTAAGAGAGTCTTCTATATGTTAAGGGAGATACGACGCTTAAATAATTGTACAGGACTGTCATTTCAGTTTACTTGGTTAATTTTAAATGACGCGCTTCGTGTTGATCCCTTTGAAATCTGTAATGAGAGAAGTCGATTAATATAACACGAGGAAAGAAACGCCAAAGCTTTCGGTAGTAAAGATATATAGTTGTGCCTTTTTGAAAAGAAAATATTATACTTCAACAATAAACCTTCTTTTAACATACCGTTTTCAACATGATGGGATATTCCTCTGCTTTTCGTTTTTGCTGTTAAGAGAGATTTGACGGTCAGTCATGCTGCAGAAAACTACTGCAATCAGCAAGGTAACACATGATACATGCTACCTTTTGTACACAGTTCCATTAATTAAGTTGGTTATTAGTGTCACGTCAAAACATAATGTCAAGCGTCAAAACATGATTCTGCTTCTATTTTAGAGACCATGGGTTTTAATAACTTTCACAATTTCAGCACAAGAACTAGTGAATTGGTACTTGACTTAGCTACAGATCTACCTAAGTACAACTGAATTTACTATAATATTTCACTGTTCTTTTACTTGTAGATTGAACTGCAAGTGCTTTGTCCAGAGTAAGTACCAAAGACTGATGCAGCTTCTGTCAAAAAAACGTTCGTACCGTAATTTATTTTCATCTTCCACAATTCTTTGGAGTTTTATTAGTTTTTCACCATTAAGATACTAAAATTATTACTGTCGTCAATCTTAAAATGCTCTCTATTGCTTGTGTTTCAAATATTCCGTTATAGCTTACTTTCTGATGTTTGTTTTTGTTTCTCTTTGGATGTTACTAACTTTGACTCATACATTATAGAGGAGCAGATCTCTTTTCCAGGTGAATACATTTTTGATGGGGAGTCTCCACAATCAGTGCTCATGATTTAGGTGTCAGAAACCAGGAATGAGACACATGCAATTCTCTTGATATAATAATTCACACTGTCAAATAAATAAATAACCTGTTACCCCCACAAATGTGCATGATTTTGTTTGGTGTGAGATTAAAGTAGGGAACACTATACTAGTGGTTTTGGAACTCCACTGTGTTCATAATCATGGTTCTCAAAAGATCAAAGTTAAAACATATCAAATATTTAGCTGGAACATTGCAGCAAATAGTCTAATATAAGAAAAGCTGTGAATGGGTGTATGTAAGTCAACCACAAATAGTTACTTAACCTTAATAAAATAAGCCCCTTAGGATAGCAGTGTGGTATAGTGGTGAGAACTTTGGACTTGTAACTAGAAGATTGCAGGTTTAAATTCCAGTTGGGGTACTGCTGTGTTGCCTTTGAGCAAGGTACTTAGCTTAAAACTCTTTATAGTCCCTTGGGACTTCAAAGTCCCACCAGCAGAAAAATGATCTCTGAATTTGGGTTTCTGGCCTGGCAGTACTGCAAAAGTCAGAAACATTAGCCTGTAGAACTGAAGTGGACACTGGTCTGAGTCTTTAATAGGCCCAAAGGTCATTGTCGCTGAATTATTCTTTGATGAATTTACTGTTTCTTACTCATCATCCATGAAAAATATTTCTAATAAAACTAAATATTATCTAATAAAACAATACATGCACGGATTGCAGAGAGACGTATCAGGACATAAAAAGTCCTGCTGTCTATAACCATTGTACAACAATTAAAACATTTTTTTGCATTATTGTTCTATCAATGGAAGCATTCCTACAATATATGAGCACTTCTCACTTTTTTACACAAAAACAAAAAATCAGGCCATAAAGAGTTAAAAAGCATGGCTGTATAAATGGATAAATGTGGAAGTTGCTTTGCACAAAATCAGCAGCCAATAATAAAAAAGCTGTTAAAAAACATTTGCCATAGCCCAGCAATTTGTTTTATGCACCCATGATGCTGCAACACCACAAGTGTGTGTTGGAAAATATAGGCAACTCATAGCAAAAATGAATCAGTGGGCAGGTAATGTTTATTAGGCTGCATCACTTATGTGCACAGCCCTCCGGTTCAGCAAGACATGCTTTCCAAAGATTCAGAGAGTGCAGCCTGTTCAAAGTGTTGCTGATCAGCCCGGCCTTGTGCCGTTTCTCTCGGTTGTGTGACAAGCCAACAACATGCTGTATGCAGTACGTAGTGGTGACTGTCAGCCCAAGTTCAATGAAGTGGACAAGCATTGGTCCCTGGGGACCATCAACACTTGAAGTTGACTGTACTTTAAAATGTGCACCACATCCTGTTCTTTCCACCTGCCAAGACAAACCTCTTTGGAGGCTCTAAGGCCAAAAAAGTGCCAGAGATCACAATATCCAGCAAGCTGTGCAATTCGGGCTCTGAATTGATGCAGTGCAACTGTGGCAAACAAAATGTTGCAAATACTGAAGTATTTCAGTTTCAAGCGTGTGTTGCACTATCAATGAAGAAATGCCATCCAGTACATAACATCTGATCAATTATTTTATTCATGAAGTGCCAATGCTTTTTGAAACACCTTTATCCTTGAAAGGGCCAAGCTTTCTTTATGTGTTGAATCTAGCGTTATCTTCATCAGTCCTCACTCTTTTAGGAAAATGAATGAAATCTATAGACATAGGCGAGTATGGGTTTCTTATGGCTAAGAAAAGTGATGGTGGTTTGCTTCTATATACTGTAGATGCCAGAGAATATTTGCCCATTCCTGCCCTGTACTGTACCTCAGTATCTCAACCATGAAATGTTCTGTATTTGAAACAAACAGAAAAAAGGAATATTTTCAACACCAGCTTTGTCACTTCCGAAACTGATGAGTGACGACCTCTTGACTGAGGTACAATTTTATAATGAGATTTACCTAACACTGCCACATTCTTTCAACCAGTGAGTATAATGAGTCACTCATATGAAGCACAGAATGTTTTCTATGTTTTCTGGACCATTAACCCTGTTCAGTGAAAAATAAATGTAATGTTTATTGTTCTACTATCTGTGTCTTTTCTGTAAGACTACATTAAACAGTCTGCGGTTCAATATTACTTAAAGATGTTTATTCCACTACCTGTTATCCTTTTAAAAAAGTAATTTAAGTGAACACTGCTAATGGAAAAGGGTGTACACAGCATAAAAGCAGTTTGGAACAAAAAATAATTTGATGCCATTGTGTCTATTTTTATAAACGTGTTTCTAACAGGAGTGCCATTTATGGACTGGTACAATGGTATATTACGCCCACTTCCAATATTCTTAGTTCTTCAGATTACAGTGCACGACTGCTTGTCATAACATCATAAGAACTGATGGTGTGACGGCTACAGTGAATTTTTCATCCCAAAACACCCCCATTCTCTGCTCTGCCACCAACTTAAGGTCCAATCTCCTAAGAAATATGGCAGCAACTTAAGAATTTTTTAAATGTTTGAAATTTATAAACAAATATTTAACCACAAACTAAACCCATTATTCAAGAATGTTAACGTTGAATGTAGGAAACTAAGTGAATCCTGTATATAAAAAAAGACACACTCTGGGCCTAATAAAAAACTACAGCCGAATTAATTTTTCTAAAGACACTAAATTATAAGAGAAAAAAAATACTGGAGCCTCTGTGAAAACTATCCCACTAGCCACATTAATATAAATCGTGATTTAATCATTGTTAAAAAGCAACTTGTTTTGTTCCAACAGATTGTTTTTTAAAAGCACCAACACTTGAAACAGTAGATTTTATTGTTTGCTTCATCAGTTACATGAAGCTACATGGAAATGAAATGTTTTGAGAATTACTTGGCTCGGCAAAACACATATAATGGGGATTTAAAATTATTAAAAATAGCTTAACAGCCGATGGTTTAAAATGAGCTAAAAAATGGTTCTAAGGGCTTTGAGACTCCTTTGAGACTCCAGAAAATGGCACTCAAAGTGCTACCAAAGAATTTCCTGTGTGTGCTGCAAGCCATTCTGAGAGAAAGACAGTGATGGGATGCTCTAGATAGACAAGACACGGAGAAGACTCAGAGTAAGGAAAATGTAGAATTCAGGCCACACACTGCGCACAGCAGAGAAAACCCGTAACACCAGCCAAGCCCAGTCATGCAAGACTCACAGCCCATCCACAGCCACATCATAAAAAACAGAACGGAAAACAAGACTGGGTAAGCCTATTTTTGGTGGTTTAAATGCTGAACTATAAAAAACAATGATGTAAAGTTGCAACAAAATGTTTGAATCGTGGATTTGCAGAAAACTTTAGATTTTCATTTGACCATAAAAAAGCTTTTTTTCCTTTTTTTTTATTAACCAAAGCTTTTTTTTCCCAAAGAAGAAAACTGCTTCAAAGAAATTACAGTGGCAATTAAGTCTGTGCGCTTGGGGTTTCCCTGTACAATAAAATTAAAATTCAGCTTCTACCACTCCTTTAAAAGTCAAGCTATTGATTTAAATCAGGATATAAGCTGGAACAGCTTACACTGGAAATTCCATGGTATCTTCTGACACAATATTTTGACAAAAAATATGCAAAAGAATACAAATAAGAACAGATCTCCGACACAAAAAAATGGAATAGAGCTGGATCATTGTGATTTTACACATATTTCATAGAATTGCTTCCAGCAGTATTTTATATTATTTATATTAGTGAACAGGCCATCCATGAATAATCAGATTCCATGCTTTCCCAGTGCTTTTTTTACTCACAAATAAACACAGAGACCACTTAAACATTGAGAAGAATGTGGGATTCCTTACAAAAATAAAGCCCACTTGAAGACAGGGTAAAGTGCTACAAAAAGTAATTTGTGCAAATCATGCTGCATCTTTTGGCAAAAGATGTCAATTTTTTATGATTTCCACAGAGATCATTCTATGAGCTAAATGCAAAAACCTTCAGAAGGTATGGTTAACAGCATGCTGCCTGACAAGATCACCTTTAAGATTCATATGGAGGGTGTATAGATGAGAATAAATGTGAATCGTAAAAGTGCACACTGTTACTTATTTACAAAGCATGTGCACCACAATCAAATGCATCAAACATTACAGCATGTACCATCTCTCAGATGTCCCTGAACAGAGTTTAAAGCAAAAGACAGTAGTATTAATTGTAATTCTATACATTATTGCAATGTTATAGCATTATTTGCTGTTCATGTGAAATACTAAAATATTCATATTGTTATACCTTTACTTAATAAAACATCTCCAAATGTAGTAAATAAGTTTTAACATTTCATTATTTTAACTATAACATTATATGTTTCCAAGTAAAATATGATGCACAAAATTTGTCTTTTCCTTGCATTATTCATCAGAGCCATTCTGGTTCAATTAAATCACCAATAACATGCCCTGCACTACATTACATAGAGAATACACAGAAAAAAATGTAGTTTCAGAATCGCATTAGAAAATCATGCATAGCATAATTGAGATCCTTCATCCAATAATTCTCCCAATTTTAGGTTTAAATGGGAAAATGTCTAAATAACATCTAGTAATATCAAAAGATGCCAAACATGTTCATTTAATAAAAGAAAGTAAAAAGCCTAAAACCTCTTTAAAATGTAATTTCCATTACAGTATAAATTGAAATATCGGACTGGATCCATTTAACTTTTTAGGACACCTCAAACAGCATTTGGTATTCCAATGCAAACTGTAAAACACATCCTCCCCACTGTCTTTTCCTATGATTCACCCTTCAGTTTAATTCAGAGCAGATGAGAAAAGTGGAAAAAGGAATTTATCTATAATTGCTCTTTCCAAGAGACCAGCTTGTGCTTCATACATGGCTGCTGTTTTACTCTTTTATCAGATGGCACATCTTTAACGTTTAAAATAATGCAGAGGGGTGGGCAGCACTGTGGCGCAGTGGTTGGTATTGCTGCCTTGCAGCACTGCGGCTCTGGTTTTAATTCTGGACCCGAGGAGCTATCCGTGTGGCGTTTATATGTTCTCCCCCTGTTCCTGTAGGTTACCTCTGACAGTCCAAAGACATATTGGTAGCTTCATTTGTTTCTGTAAAGACTGGCCCTGGTGTGACTGTGTGTGTGTGTCTGTCTGCCCTGTGTCAGGCCTGCCAGGGTGTGTCCTGCCTTGAACCCGTTGCTTGCCAGGATAGGCTATGGCTCCCCCTCAGCCCTGAATTGGATAAAGCATTTAGAAAATGGAAGGATGGACAGACAGACAAAAGGGTATAAGAGACATTCCCAGCAGTAAACCATTTTGCAGTTATCAATTCAATAATACACTCTATCAAACATGACAGCAGCAATGATTCCAGTTCAAGATACGTTGAGTCCCCAGCTGTGGCATCAGACCTACTGTGGAACTTCACATCAGCCCAGATGTTACTGTGGACTATAGAGTGAATTGATCTGGGCTGCAGGAATCAGGCCACTTGGCTGCAGGAATCCATTCTGAGCTGCTGTACATCTACAGCTAAACATAAAGCTACTCGTATGGGGAGCTGCGTCAGCGTCTGTTGACTGCAAAGGAACAAGTAAAGGTTAATTCCACACTGAAAAGTAGAAAGTCAAGATGCAACATTTCGGCTGTTGACCCCCGCTCATACCTATAAGGCTTGAAGCTTTTTCTACTTTTCAGTGTTGAATTAACCTTTACTTTGCTTAAAACTGTTGAGAAGTGTTGTCTCATCAATATCTAGTGGTATGAATGTGATCTGGACTGAATGAAAATAAGAGAAATGTCCTCAGATCTAATCACTTTACTTTCAATGACTGCTTATGTAATTTAGGATCATGGTGGCTGGGAGCTTATCACAGTAAGCACTGGGTGTAGGACACACCCTGGATAGGAGGCTTCCACAGGGGACACACAAACACAGACACACACTCACACCAGGGCCACATTTTTACGTAAGTCAGTTAGCCTACCAGTACTTTCCAGTACTATCTATGGACTGTGGAAGGACACCAGAGTACCCAGATTAAGATTTAAGATCATAGCTATTCAGAGCCAGATGTATGAGTTGCAAGGAACCTATATAATGACCTGATCATTTTTTATTTCTCATGCTGCATTCTTCTTAAACAAATGTGTGGTTAAATGCACTAAAGAATTCTTTATTTTTTTCTGTTAATATTTTCTGTCATTTTCTTTGCAAATGTAAATGGATATTTAATCCTGCCACTGTTCTACACAAACCTGAGCTTCTGATTTCTCTCCAGCAGTAAAGTGTAAAACATGTCTCTTATATCATTGTTAAGAGGCTAATGTCAATATTACCTTTTCATTTACAGTACAGCTGCAATGTGACATTGTAAACCTTCGGTCTTTGAAAGAAGGTTCTCCAAATGAAGTACACGCTATCTCCCTGTCTTAGTAAATAATGTTAGTTTATGTTCTCCACATTGTCTTCATGTACTTTTATAAACACACAAAATGCTTTGCTGTCCTTTCACACTTAAGGCAAAGCATTAATTGTTTGCCACTGATCTGAACACACATACTCTACCTAAAGGTATGACAACAGCTAGATCTCTGTCCCCCTGAGGTCACTATTATTCATCCCTCTAGCATGTCCAAATGCAAACAGCAAAGAGTTGACTCAAACAAAAAGGTTGTGTTCTAAGAGAAAAAAAAGAAAGGTGAAGCTCGTTCTTGGCGACGCTTTTTATCAGTGAAATACTCGGCATGACTGAAGGCAGCAGCATAACCCTGCAGGAGGCACATGAATCAAAACACCATCGCTGTGGCACAGAAACAGGCTGAAAGGGAGCGGGAAGGGGGGAGGGGTGGGGGCTGTGTCTGCGTCAGAACTCGAGCCAATTGCAGCCAGAGCTGGGGCAGGCTTGTGCATGAATTGTTATATCTAGCACTTCCTCAGCCGCCAGGACCTCATGTCAAGTACGTCAGAGTGCTGGCATGAATTACGGGAGCCTCAACCCTTTTATAAGTCTCTTTTTCACTGCTGCTGTGTGTCACTCCTGATGTTTTTACTGGCACAGCTTCATTCCAAAGCTGACGCAATTAATTGACAAGATCCCTCTGATCAATTACCTAAGTAAGGCTAATGAAAATACGAAAGACTTTATAGCAGACGGACTTCGTTAGGAGCACCAGCTTAAGCTTCTTTGTATGAAACCCAGCTGTTTTTTAGCCCATCCAAAACAGGGGAAAAAAACTTCACCCTCCCTCTGCAACAGGCCAAAACGCAAATAGTAATGAACAAATGTGGCTATTCTGTAATCAAATTCTAATCATAAACCTTGCATTATCATTGACACTAAGCAGAAAGCATGCCCTAATCAGACACACATTTTCTTTACACTGTCTACTGTGCATTGCCTTCTCTTCAGAATCCATTAAATCACAAATAAGGAAAAATCAAAATGTACATATTTAACTCCTTTTGCTGCTATCTAGCTTAAGAGCTCTACATGAAACTGTGTTCAAAGCTCTATTGTAATTAAAAGAGATTGTACTTTCTGAAACTAGCTTCAGTGAATGCTTGCAGAAGAAGCAGACTACATGTAAAGGAAAGGTTTCTGCACATTGCTGTATGCAACATTTTTAGGTTTATTCAAGAATTTTAATTAATTTTAAATCATCTTTCAAATGTAAAATTTACAATGAGAAATGGATTAGATGATTCTCATACACAGATTCTTCATTGCCTTTACAAGAGAGCTCTAAAGAGCTTCAGTGCTTTGACTAAACTATATAGTGTGTTAGAAAAAAGTGAGAGTCCAGCTTAATCGGTACTGGAGCTTCTTGTTCATTACTGCAGGATGAATTCTGAATTTGTGAGAACAGAATGACTGGAATTTTTACCATATATTTCAGGTTTTAATATGCTTTTAAAATTGAAATAAAAAGATACATAGTGTTATTTCTGTTGTTGTTAAAGAAAATCAAAAGAGTGCTTTATTGTTATGAAGAGCTAATGTTTTTCATGTCCGACAGGAATAACATCTGTTAATCCTCCCTCTGTCTCTCAATACAGGCCACCGTTCATAGGAGCTAATACCCTGGAATTTTGCTGATGTCATATGGACCTTTCCCTGGCATTTGTAACTTATAATTCTCCAGAGCTGATTATTATAATGAAAGGGGAAACCTGCTCAATTTTCATTACCTTGTACGTCACAACCAAGACTGAAAAAATAAATTGTTTAAAGTCCTTCTAATCAGCACACTGTATAGGCTTTCCCTGAATGTAATGACAAGCAGAAGTGTATAAGTGTTACTTCAGGCTTTTATAACATCATGCAAATAATTAAAACAGATCACATGAAGATTTGCTTTCACACACTTCTCCATTTTAGGTTTCTCTTGTGCAAGAACATTTTCTTTTGTCTGTACATTTGGTAAAGCAGTGAAACCCATAAAAGTAATAATTTATGCAGTATACAAAGAATTAAATATCCTGTAAACATTGTTCTCATTCACCAGAAAGCAGCAGTCCTATTTTTGTAGCCAAACCATTTTATTATTTAGTAAGATTGGAAAGCTGTGAAAAGCTTTTGCACTGACAGGGTGAATGTTTACAGCTGTCTTAGACAAAACAGTGACTGATGGTCAACAAACGATGTTAGCAGCAGGCACTGTAATTGTTCATTCAGGCATTTACTAAAATGTACATGCTCAGGACATTAAAAAATTAATTATACAAAGACAAAAATTAATTATACAGGTGTAGACACACCCTGTCCCCGGATTTCAACCCTACTGAAAACTCCTGGAATTCAAGAAAACATGCAGTTCAATCCTACACATGATTACCCCTCATCATAACCTCAATTGAAGGTCATCCTTCTGGAAAAATGGGATGGGACTGGACTGCAAATATTTCAGAACCTAGTGACCGTGTGCCAATTCCTGGTGAAGCTGTTCTTATTTCTCACAAAGTCTCAATACAGTTGTACTTGGTTTGCTACCATTTTGGTCTGAGATTGTACATCATATCAACCACCAACAGAGACTTGAGGACAATTTACTGTTTGAACAAATGTGTAACGCCATTATATATGACATAACCCTGATCTTGTGGTGACTATGAAAAATGCTTAAATAGCCAAACACTAACCCAATTCCTGTTGAAAGGAATTAAAATCTATTTATTTTAGGATTTCAGTTTCTGTTAATTATCATCAAGATGAATATCAGTGATTACATTCAAAGAATTTAACTTACTCTGAATTTAAAAAGAAAGACCAGGAGATGATAAGATTTCGAATGTGCTTTGTGCATTTTGAAACAATGCTCCTTAAAATGAAATGGTCAAGAAAAAAGCCTAATGGAAAATATGTACTGTAGGAACATCTGTATTTGACATAGTCCTGCAGTATTTCCTACATAAATAACTCCAAAAGAATGATTCCAGAATAACATTTTTATTGTTCATGAGGTCACACTTTTACTCACACTTCTTTAAGCAGGTCAGTTCTTTTAGAACTGAACTGCAAAAGACGCTGAAATTTCTTCGTGATCTCCTGTCCTCTCCAAAAGGCAATGAAACACTCACAGAGATTAAGTAAGTGTGATCTCACTCCAAGTGTCCAGTCCTTATTTGTCTTTTTTGTTTTTCTGTCTTTTTCATGAGAGCCAAATGGAACTTTTATTAAAGCTTAAAATGGTCGAATTTGATTTTGATACCAATGGAAAAAAGGCACCATAGATTAAATGAAGCTTAATTCCATTCAAAGACTGCAGAAGGACTCACCAATCTTCTTTCGTACTGAAAACCCCACAACCTTTTGTACAAGAAAGTATTTATTACAATAGACATTAGGATGTTTCCCCATCACTGGATTCACAGTGTTCTTCTTCTGTGTTGTTCCATTTTATATTAAATTAACAACAGCACTGAGATAAATACACACAAACATACTGTACATAGAAGCACAGACACACCTCAGAATGGACGCTTGAAGCTTAAAACGCCCAGCAGTTTTGAAATTCTCCATCAGTAAATTTATTTTAAATTGATTGTACTGATTGGGCATAATGGATGTGGGGAGTATCACTCTTCTTGATTTTGTAATAAACTGTCGGCTGAAGTAATGATGCACTTTGTAATGTAACCATGTCTGAAAAGGAGTCAAGTGATACAAATATATGAAGAATAGATTTTTGGAATATATAAACAATTTTGCACATGCCTCAGAGGAAATGTTACTTCACTTTGGAAAGCAAAGTGATCTTAATACAAAACTGGAATACAAACCTCAAACAGAGCAATACAGGACAGGGAGTTCTAATAATAAACAGGAATGCAAAATATAGAAACATAATTTTTGTTTTCATGAATTGCACACTAGCCAAAAGCAACCATACAAGAACTGAGGTACTAAGAAAAGCATGCACAATAAAACATCCTGCAAAGTCATTTTGTCTCTTACCCAGCCAGACAAACAGTCCTAACAGAACCATGCATATGGTTGCAAGGTTTATATACTGTATTTACACAGAAGCCTAGCTGGGCAAACTAAAAACAGGTTAATGCCCAGGAGGTGCTGCTTACCTGCTTACTGCTTAGGTTTCCAGACAGGCGGAAGGTCAGAGTACAGCTTTTTTTGAAAGAAAGGAGTCCTAGATACTAGAGTCCCTCTTAAACAGGTCTTGACAGGTCGACCAAAGTTAACAGATTCTCTTCTTTAAACACCGACTTTGCATCTCATACAAATAAATCCCGACTGTCAAAAACACTTTAGAAATAAAGTCAATACAAAACTTCAAGCATTTCATTTGACTTCTATTTCCCACATTACTACATGGACACCTGCTATGTAAATGCTTTCATTTATATTAGTTTTGTAATAACTATGAACATGTACAGTATATATTTTGTATAAATGTATTACAATGCTATTAAAGATTTTCTTTTTGATCATAGGAATTGGTACATCATTCTGTAAGCAGTAAACTGTAGTTCTAGACATGTCAGTGCTATTTGAAAGCGTAATCTTGTTAACTGTAATAGTTTGTAAGCTCTAATTATCTTTGTTAGATGGTATTACTGTCACTTGGATAAAGGCAACTTCAACTACAATAATTATATGAGGTTTTTAAAAAATATACCTGCCCACAGAAAATGATAAATATTATAAAGATCACCATAAGTCATGAGAAAGCAGTGAAGTCTCCAGTACTGATTTGTCCGGCACATTATGTGACCTTGGTAAGTTTATTCAAAAACGTGAATGCACTTTAAATCATCTTTCAAATGTGAACATTGCTATAACATTTAGATTAGATGATTCAGTTATATAGTTTCTTTACTGGCTTTAGTACAGAGTTCAAAACGGTCTTAGTGCTTTGAATAAACTACTTAGTGTGTAAGAAAAAGTGAGAGTCCAACCTCCTAAATACTGCACTGGCGTTTCTTATTTCACATTGGTGCCATCTAGTGTCAAACAAAAGAACAACCATCAGAAAATTGATCATAGAAAATTAAAACACAAGTCCCCTTTCATGCATATCAGAGGTTTTAGCGGCGATTGTAATACCAACTGCAACAGCAAAGGACTAACCTACGAACTAATTAAGCAGATATGTGACTGTAGATCTTAGACTACAAGACCGTTAGATTTTCATTTAATCCTAAAAGTTCTGACTGGAGAGCACTAATATCCTAAGCCTGTCAGGTATTTATTTGTATTCCCAAGGTGAATGTGTATAACCACTAAAGCACCTTTTTTTCTACAATGATAGGATTAGCGGTTCTCCTTAGATCAGGCTGCCACAGAAAACAGATGGGTGAACTATATGATCTACCAATAGATAGTGCTGTTGCATAAAAAATGTTAAATTTCTAATAATTTGCATTGTAGGTATAATATATACAGAAAGATTTACTATTGCACGGCAGTATCTCTGACTAAGTAAACATAATAAAAAATATTTTTAATTGTATAGAAAATATATGTATACATTGTGAAAGAAACATCTTCCTGATTTATTTTCAGCTTTTGTTTAAAATTGTAAATTAAATCAAAGCAAAAGGAAGTCATTGAAAATAAACCAGAAGTATAACTCAACCACAATAACACAAAAGTTAAGCATAGCCATTTTTTTCATCATTTATTATGCGATAATTTATATAGCAGTTATATAGCAGTTTTCACCAATTAATCTGACAGCGGTAAGCTTTATGTTAAGCACTGCTTTAGAATACAGAAAATCAACCTGTGGTTATTTCATTAATAAGGAAAATAATGATAGGCACTGTATTTACTAGTTTTAAAGAACACGGTTCACCTTAATCAAACTGATATTCTGTCAGTTGTGTTAATCGATTAAATTTTCCATCCATTTTTCGAACCACTTTTTTAAATAGCACGGCTGGGGCCCATCCCAGCAAGCAACGGACACAATGCAGACTACACCCTGGACTGGACACCTGTCCATCACAGGGCAAACACACCCAGGGCCAGTTTTTGCACTGGGGGAGAAAACCGGAGCACCCAGGACAAACCTATGCAAAGATGGGGAAAATACACAAACTCCACACAGACGCACCCCAGGCGGGTTCAGAATAGAACCCAGGACCCCCGCGCTACGAAGGAGCAATGCTAACCACGGCGCCTACTCTGAATAGTGTCACAGCTGTTGTGTATCTGCCCTCTATCACCAAATTCTAAACTATTGACTTTACTATGAGTAATGCAGAATGGGCTGTTTAAACAAGAGAGGCAGTCGATAGAGCAAACGGTGTGATTCCGGGTCAGCTGGACTTCACACCAGCACTCTCCTTCTGAGCTAAGACTAACAAAAACACAGCAAGACAGCACTGAGGCACCTATTACAAATCTTTCATAGACGTTTTTCGGGTGGAATGTTTAAGCAATGGCTCTATAAAAAGGAGTTAAACAAGTATATTTAAAATGTGCCTATATTATTTTGATCACATAGTAACTTTGGGTGGTTTGGTGTTTGACACAAATCAATATTCAATTTCAAACAAAGAGAGACAAGGTGGGTGTGAAATTTGAAAACATAAACAGTTTCCCCATTGGTAGGAGGCGTCCATATCATTGTGACCGGGTAGTAAACTGCACAAAGCAAAGTAATACCATGTAATGACTTGAATTAATTGAATTGTTTTCAGTTCAAAAAGAAGTATACTTAAAGTCTAAATCAGTAAGGACCTACAGTTTTGTCCTGAGCAATTGCTCAAAAACAGTGAGAAAGAGCATTTTTAAACTTGTTTATTTTTAATGGTTAAACATGGTTCCTGCTGTTGATGTCAATGTGGGGAATTAAACCCGCCTCTGACCACCAGCAGCAATCAAGAGTGTGATGAGTATGACTGGCCACGTTCACTCAACGCCCATTATCTCTGCTCCATTCACAAGCAGACACAGGGGTCTCATTTTCAAACATAAAGGCCACAGTCACACCCATGATAAGGAAAATGCATGGGCTGGAATACACTGTCGGTTTAGAAGAAGAAACTCCCTGTATTTTGCCTTCTACCTTCATTGCACAGACATGAATGAATAATGATGAATATGAAGATAACTTACACTTACAGTACATATCAAATGCCTGTAGGATATTTAAAAAGAAATGTATTGTGTCAGAGAGAAAGGCTATTGGTGTATAAATGGAGTGAATAATATTGAATAATATTGTCTTCAACAGGTCCCTATGCACATAGTGTTTCCCAAAGAGGACAGTACAGTGTACTCATACATAGTAGTTCAGGTGGGGAGCTGCGTCAGCATGCGTAGGCTGCAAAGGAACAAGTAATAGGTTTATTCCATGCTGAAAAAAAGCATGGAATAAAAGTTGCCTTTACCTTTGCCTACTGCCCTGTCTCTCTCACACCTGAAGAAGGCTCCACGGCCGAAACGTTGTGTTCTCTTTCTTCTTTTTTTCAGCATGGAATAAACCTATTACTTGTACTCATACATATATTGCCACCCATTATTTCAGTGGTAACATGATCATAGCATTGTTTCCAAGAGATGTTTACTGATGTCCATGGAGACATGAAAACACTCTCTGATCTTCTCACAACAAAGGGAATCTGTTCCTTCTGTTTAATAGCTTGTTGCATCCTGAATTGTGCTCCCTGCTGGTGTGTGTTTATCCATCAAGCACGGCCTCTAA